TTTTATCATTGTGGTTATGAAATTAGGGTTTGGAATTTTTTGGCATACGGGTTAGGGTTTTTCTGTCAATGTTAGGGTTTTTAAATGTATTTGAATTTTTTGGAATCAGGGTTAGTTTTTGAATTTTTTGGAATTATTAAATGTATTTTTCTGTCAATGTTAGGGTTTTTATTATTGTGGTTATGAAATTGAATATGGTTATGAATGTTTATGCTTTGTCAGTGTGGTTGTGGTGATGAAATTAGGGTTTGATATCAGATTGTTCACATTATTAGGATTGTTCAAATTAGGATGTCATTTTAGGGTTCACATTATTAAGGGTTGTAATGCTTTTTAATTTTTATGCTTTTGAATCATAAATCGGGTTTGGAATTTTTTTAATTTTTTGAATTTTTTAAATAAATCATAAATATGAGAATTGAGAATTGAAAATTGGAATTATGAAATTCATAAATCATAAATATGTTAATATCATATTATGAAATTCATATAATTGAGAATTGAGAATTGAAAATTCAGTAAAAATAAAAAAATACGAAAAATAAGAAAGTAAAATTTTTTGAAAAGTATTTTTAGAAAACTCTAATCAAGCAAAGTGATTCATTACTTGTTATTATCCATCCACACAAAGTTTAGTTGCATCATTAAATTATTTACATAGATTAAGATATGAAAAAATCAATACAAAAATTCAAAAAGGCAAAATCTAGTTATGTTATTTTATATTTTAGCAAAATTCAATTTACAACAGTAAGATGAAAACTACAATTCCAAATAAAAATTGAATTAATTACAACAAAATATTACCTAAACTTTACTTTTCTCACATTCTTACTTTGCTAAGATGCGCATGGGTCAATTTGATTCGAATCAATACTAATTTTGGAATCAAACCACTCATTTATACACCAGAATCAAACCAAACCAATCCAAGGTAGCTTGGGTAGGAACCATGGTTCAACTACATTAAGAATAAGTGAATAAAATCAACAATTAATGATTAGAATAAATAATTCATAAACATTTTTTAACATAACACAAACAAAGAAGAACAAAATAAATACTTTTAAATTTAATACAAGCCAACAACTACAAATAGTCATTTATATTGTTTTAATAATCAATACAAAATACATTTCATTAATGCGATCCAAAAATATAAAATAAACTACTTGTCTGGATGAAAATGTTGGAACAATCTTCTGTGTAAATAAAATAATTAGAAATAAATTCAAACAAAATAAATAAATAACATACCGGATTTATTTTGTCGAACCAAATAAAAATTACAAGACCAAGTCGAGTGTGTGACACTCTGTCCTTAAGACAGATTCGCCCCGTTACGGTGCTTACGATTGAGTGGCGTCTATCTCTCAAGATACAATGATCTTCCAAAACTTGTAGTAGCACTCCACACAAATTTTTATGACGAATCAAACCTTGTGTTCTATACTCTCTTAATATTATTCTAAAACTAATAAGTGAAGAATAAATGCAGTAGAACAAATGGACAGCAAAGAGACCAAATTCAGACTGATTTTCGGATTGGAAAACATGTTGGACAGTGCTGGTATATATAGAGCCGAACAGGTGCAAAAATTTGAACTGAACAGATGGGTATTTGAATTGAATAGGTGCTGTTTGAATTCAAACAGATTTCCAAACCGTTTCAATAGATAAACTGCTGGACAGTTATACCCGGAACTGTTGGGCAGTTTCTGGAAGTTAAATAACTAAAAACCAATTTAAATTTGTTGAGAAATTTCGGACAGAAGTTGCCTTAAATGTTGGACAAAAAATTAGAATTCAAATTAGATTAGAATTAAATTTTCGCAATATTATTTTGAAAAAATTCAAATGAATTTTGTCCAAAAAATTAATACAAAGCATGCGCGTAGTGGTTTGGGCTAAAGTTCACTTTGTCCATAACTCTCCCCTTCTACAAACTTGGGGTGCCCCTTGGGGCCCAACCCAAGTATTGTAAGCTAGAGCTTATAAATTCAACAAAACTCTCTTCAAGTTTCAATGTGGGACAAGCCTCACAAGGAAACCCACATTCAAAACTTAAATGAATTTTGTCCAAAAAATTAATATAAGAATTGACCCACAACCCACTCTCGACACGGCGGTGGCAGCATGTGCGTAGTGGTTTGGGTTAAGGTTCACTTTGTCCATAATTCTCCCCTTCTGCAAACTTGGGGTGCCCCTTGGGGCCCAATCCAAGTATTGTAAGCTAGAGCTTATAAACTCAGCAAAACTCTCTTCAAGTTTCAATGTGGGACGAGCCTCTCAAGGAAACCCACATTCAAAACTTAAATGTTCAATTCCACGAACCCGAAAACGACATCATGTTCTCATTCACTCATAAATGGTTTTGACGAACCGTCTTCACCGTGTGACTTGCCACGTGGCAAAGAACACTTCACCTCTTCGGACCCGCCCTAAAAGACGTTCAGGGCCCACTCAATTTTGAGCTCAAAGTCGGCCCAAAATCAGCCTATACAAACCATTTTTTCCAACAGAAGATGGGATATGAATTCCAATTAGTCATAACTTTTTCCTTATGTATGAATTAATCCGGTACAATCAAGTCTACATTAGTATTTGCAACAGATTAATTACATGAAGACATATGAACATAAATAAAATTTTATATAATATATATAGGTTCAGGTCTCGGATTAGTTCAATGCAGGCTGCCTAAATCGGGACACAACTCAATCCTATAGGATTGATGATTTAAGACCCAAAACCCAACCAATATATTGAAAAAATGAATGAACCCAATTCATAGAGATTGAGTTGGTTCAATTCTCAAATTTTCTATGTATTTTATACACCCCTAACTACTATAATGGATAAAAAGAATTTGGGGCCCCTATTTTTTTTTTCAAAAATTGGGAGCCCAAGGCATAGGCTTCTCTTGCCTCTCCTTAGGACGGGGAGTTATTTAAAATGAAAAACATTAAGGATTCTAAATATTTTACTAAACGTTCCACATGTCTCATATGGGTGTGGGACCCACACTGTGTAGATCTCATGTGGATCCAACACCCATGTGAAAATATCTGAGATCTCTAGCATTACTCATTTAAAACTCTTAAAATATTTATTTATAAATGTGGTTCCAATGACATGAATTATTATTACATGTCACTTGTTAATGTGTTTGAAAATCAACCAAGACCAAACCCTTACCATTTCAGGGTGAATATATTTAAAGATGAAATTTTAATGGTCTCTAGTATTATTCATTTGCTAAATGAGTACAACATTAATGTTTATTTATTTGTTAGTTTTCTTCAAAACAACGTAATTTTAGAGTGGTTGTAAAAAAAATTCCAATATAATATATAGTATATAAAATAGAATTTACCCTTATTTTTCTCTCTCTCTCATAAATAGTACTTATGTGGCACTCTCTATACTCTTATTTTTTTTAAATGCCATGTCATAAGTAGGGGTGTTAAAAAAAAAAGGTGGAATTGGCAAATCGATCCAATCCGGTCTAAATTGTTGTTTGGTCCGATTTTTATTAGCTTCGGTTTTGGTTCTGGTTTCGAAAATAGGTGAACCGTTGAAATCGGTCCGGTTCTCGACCTTAACTGAATCGTTAATGGCTCGGTCCCGGATCTAATTTTTCTAGAACCGTTAGGACCAATTCGATTTGTGGTTTACTCTAAAACCGGATCAATCCGATCGGTAAGCACTCAGTCATAAGAGAACTAAAAGTTAGCCATTTTTTGATAATGTTGGGACTTCAGTTTCCTATTAAATGTAAAACTAGGAAACACATTATTAGACGACATGAACAATTTTTAGATCATCATTGATTCTTGCTAAATCAATGCATTCATAGAATTTTCTTATTACTAGCAGTCCATCCGTGCTATGCACGGGTTAAATGCACATAATAATAATAATATTTATTAATATTGCATGGATTTTTAGATTGTAAAAATATTTTTTTTATGAATTTTGAAATATATGATAAGAATATTTATTGACAATGTAAAAATTCTTCCATTATGTAATTGAGAGGAAAATCTACTTTACCCTATGATATTGATCTGGAGGGGTGCAATTCAAGTGGCCCAACTTGAGTAACCTAAGTCCAGTCCTTAAAAATGTTATGGCTTGATCAATATAATGTTAAATTTGGTCATGATTTAGGCAAAAATTTACCAATTCGAATTAAATCAGTCAGGATGTAAGTATGTTTTATCAAAACATAAGCAACCCGAATTATGTTGTTAATAATATATAATATATATGAAATATACATTTTTAAAAACTGATTATTTTTCTACTGCTGAATTAAACCATGTTGCAATGCATAACTGAAATGAATTTTCTTTTTCACTTTCATTTTCTGATTTTTTTTTATTTTTTATTTTTTTTTTTAACTTTCAAAAAATGCAATACATTAGTACATGATAAGTCAAAGCTCAAGCTCAGTCCAAAATAATATTCTTGTGTTTGAATTCAGGCTCTCAATCCTAACCTGAACTTCTTGAGATAAACTCGGACTGACTGTGTTGCATGGGCATAGGCAAAGGGCAAATCCCTTTCTACTTCCGGTTAAGCTTGGACATACCATCACCCCTTACCCTCTTACATTTATACATAATTTTAAAGTATTAGAGTTGCATTTACCCGTTCAAATTGTTAAAAATTTTGCCAACAGTTAGCCAATGATCGCTGGCTGAAAGTGGCGCTGATGAGGAGAATATAAAAACTTATTTTGAAAACAAGTGAAAATATTTTTTTTTCCCCCCTTAAAAAATTAAAAATTTTAGAATCAATCAAAACGTTATGAAACGACCCTCTGCCTGTCTGGGTAGTCCAAAGCATTTCTTACTTCATCCATTGAAATAATGCAAACAAAAACATTATTTTATTTTATTTTATTTATTAATTATTTTATGTAACATATAGGAGAAAAAAAAGGTAAATCTACATTGTGCTCGATAAGAGTGAACTCATTCACCAGGCTAACATTAGTCCACTGCTATGAATTACTTCATTCACATAAAATTATACAGTTCCATCTTTTCCGAATCCTGCATTTCGGAGTATTTCGCATACAACAATACATAAAATTATACGTTCCATCTTTCTGCACATTGGGCTGCCAAGCATTCTCCACTTAGCACACTACAGGGGGCATGCATGAATAAAAGTGGGAAAGTAAACAATTCTTTGAATTAAGAACATTAGATAGATAACCCTGCTACTAGTATAGTGTGTTATTTTTGGCCAAAAAATCTTTGTCAACTGGTCATAACAGGATTTCAATCAACCTAAGTTCCCAAATTTTAGAAGTTATCTACAAAAACAAACGGAAGACCATCAAACCATAATAAGCATTATCAATATGTCAAAAGAACAAAAACTCACACAATTACTCCTATTAATTCAATGAAAACATTTCCTCCTACACAATAATCTCAAATTGTAGGTGTTGATATTTAACATACAAGTCACTCTTTGTAAATCAACTTTTACCACTGCAAAATCCTTGACCTTCCAAAATGGAGGTATTTCCGCATGAAAAAACAAAAGCTTTAGTCATCACAAGAAGTTCTCAGCTGCAATGCAATACAGAAAAAAAAAATTAAAAAAAAATAAGATGAGAAAGGAACTTCTGAAACGAGTTAATCACAAAACAAACAAGCAGGCTAGCAATCAGCAACCAAAATTTAGTAAGAAGCACTGCTATTCGAATCCTCAGCTCCTTAGGTTCACTGGAAAAAATGAATTAACATATTAGTCCAAAAAAAAAAAAATGGTCCAAGAAACCCATTAGAATGAATTCCCTGCATTAAAACTAGCCTGCATTCACACCATTTCACAAAGAAACCTCCACCCAAATAACAGCAGCAATATGACTAAATGTACATTTTGAGCATTAAAATTATTTGTTGGTGCATTTTAATATTTAAATGTATGTACATAAGTCATTTATGAGATGCATTGATCACCTACATATTCCAACATTGAAGATAGAGCAATCCTATGCACACAAAAAATGCCTAGAATATTCAATGTATGGTCCAGATTCGTTTAAGATGTGTGTTTCACCATACATGAGTTTAATTTCAACAACAAATTATCTTTATCAACATGTTTGTTTTGGGATTTCAGAGGAGGGGATTAAAATATTAATCTGTGGGGCTTACAAAAATCATGTATGTTTTGGAAAAGTGTCCATAGGACTATGAAGCCCCACCAACGAGGGGATTAGCAATCCCTTCGGGGACTTGGGTTTGGGAATCTAATCCCATGGGATTAGATGTAAAAAGACTTTATTGCCCCTACTTAATAAAAATCATAAAGTTAAACATTTTTATATATGAGCGCTTTTACATAATTTCATAGATTTAATCCCAACTAATTAATGCTTCCACACAAGTGCACAAACAAGCACAATTTATCTTATATCTCCAACCTAATACCACCACACTAGTAATCCACTCACTCAATCCCACCGTACCAATAATTCCATCCAACATAATGTGGCAAACAAACGTGGCCTATGGGCATATTTCTATGCGTGTATAAGCTATCCATCTATTCATTTTCTAGGCATTGAATTTAACCTATGAATGCAGGTAACTCTTCATTTACCACAAGAATCAATGAATTGGATGCATTAATACATATAATTCATGTATTGATTCTTAATTGGGTCATTAATGATGTTGAGGTCTATAAAGACCCATCTACCTACATCAACCCCTAATGTATATCATATATAGTATTGTAAGCATTTATCAACAATTTGATTAAGAGTGGAAGGCCAAGGTTCAAGAAGTGGCCAAAACAATTGGAGTTAAGCCAAGTGAACGGGAAGCAGTGAAAAGAAAAAAGGTAAGGAAGTGTTTATGCTCCAAGGGTGATCTTATTTCTATCCATCCTCCTCCATCAAATGTGTTTGATGTTCTTAGCTTTTGTGTAGATAATGTGTCTTTTTGTGCATGTAGATAATAAGGTGTCTTTTTGTGCAGATCCTAACAGTCTGCCTAATGCTCTCCTTTGGAAGTAATTATCCCCTCAAAGAGAGTGAAATGGGGGGTAATCCAAATGAGGGGGTTTCAAAGGAAGATAAAGAAATTGAAGGAGATGTGAGTAATCTAAATGGGCTAGCTCTTCGACAATCTTCACGTCCCAAAGGGGCTTCACAAACCCTTTCAGATGGAAAATTTGTTGTTCCATGGACAAACCCATCTTCAAGAAGTGAGAACAAGAAGAAGCTCCTCGAGAGAATTGCAAATATTAAGCTTGATAAAGAGAATGCTAACCTCTATCAAAATCTAGTCATAAGACTAATATAAGATAGTAGGCATTGTTGCATGTTGTTTGTCGCCTTGGCCTAGCTCTTGGGCTGTGAGTTTTTCAGTTTTATTTTTTTAGTGCTAGGCCTTTGCTTTGTATGCTCTACTTTGATGCCTTGCTCAACCATCTTGTCCCTTTTGGGAGTGTATCGAGCCTCACTATAACATTTTATTTTTTTGGTATATCTAAACCGCTTACCTACCCTTTTTTTTTTTTTTTTTAAGAAAATCGAACTTGAACTCAACTCTTGAGAGTTTTCAGGCCTAAGGAAGGCATTAATATGGTGGAGATTTGGACTAACCCACTTGTGCATGGTTAGTTTGAGTCATATGACGAATGGTCGGGCTGTTGTATCCTAGGAGACACAAACCAAAATGGAATGATCTAATGCACCAGTCAAAAGGCTTTGCCAATCCCAGAGGCCGACTTGAATCTCCTTAACTAAAATTATCACGCCGTAGTCCGTTATCCACTATTATTTTATTGATAGTGGATTTGCATAAAGGAAGTGTGGAGTGCATAAGCCAAGCCCCCTTAGAGAGAGCGGAGAGAGCGGCAAGTACTGCATGAGCTCGTAAGTCAAATATGAAACGAGCCTTGTCTAACAAAAAAATCGCTAAATGGGAACCATTCGGATATATGGTTTAGCTGGCTGATCTTATCAACCCCGTCATAGGTGAGCCTCTATAAGGAGGTTCAGAAGTAAGCTGAGTTAGCCAAATCACCTTGAAATTTGGTATCTTTTTGTGGTTGTGATGTTTGGCTCCTTATTTATATATTTGGTAATCATAATCAAAAGATTCAAAAGTTGAAGCCGACACTCAAGAAGCTCAATAGAAATATGTAGATGTCAAACAAGTCTTTTTCGTACAACAAGGGAAGAGACCTTGATCACATCCTTCTGTGTAGAGGAGGAAGCTTAAAAGCCAATTTATATCCTTGCTATAAAGAGGTATGAATCCATCATTGAGTTAAAACTTTTAATTCTGCTAATCTCATTTACCCATGATTATCTTTCAATATTTGTTCTATTGAAGACAAAAAAAATGAAATATTTGTCACAATAGGGAAAACCCAATTTAAAAGAACCAAGGTCACCCTTTATAAATTGTTTGTGCCAAGAGTGGGCATATTGCTCAACTTCAGTGGCGACTCTAGAAATATTGCTAAGAGCTTGATTGAAATTTATGCAAAAAAAATTAAATAATAAAAGGCATTTCAAGTTTTTTTTTTTTTTTTTTGTTAAGGATAGTTTTTTTTAGTACTTCGAAAATAAAATGTAGAATTTCGATATTGCTCACACCACATCAACTTTATTTTATGGATATTAACGAGGGTGTTACATTTAGAATTAAAGATCTTTGAGTGAGTATGCATGTGCAATGTTTGGAATGAGTGCGTTGGGTGTTCAAGATTTGTGTGAATTTGTTCAAATTGTTTTGAGTGGATTGATATATAGAAGGGGGAAAAAAGTTAAGCTATTTAATTTAAACATAGTTGGGTAGTCAACCAAAAGTTGGCAGATTCTAGGGTTGCAGTTAGTCTTCCAAAGCCAAGGCCAATTAGCAAAAGAGGCACTAGATTTTTGGTTAGAGAGAGAGTTGATTTGTTAGAGCCGCGTGGAAAAAAAGGATTCATATGGCCAACCCCATTTGATGGGACTTAAGGCTTGGTTTGGTTTAGAGAAAGCTGATTTGCTAGGGAAGTTGCCATCAGGTGTGTATCTCCAACGGATGGAGTCAGGCCAGCAATCAAACCAAGGGATGGGAAATTTCCAAATAGCATTAAGGATCGAGCTGGGGAGGGGATGAGAAATCCTACTAAAATCCCACCAATTGTTGGTCCAACAGTCCTTGACTTTAAGGGAAAGGTTAGCTTGAGGAAGAGGCCTATGGAGTGTGTTCATGATGGGTCCGATATCTAGCCAGTCATCACTCCAAAAGAGTGTTCTCAACGTTCACTGGCGTCTCCACCAAGAAAACCACTCTTTTTGGGTTAATACCCTCTGCTAGTGAATTTTTGGCACGGCAACAGTATTTGCAAAGGAACAACTTTTAATGCCTAGGCTTCCTAGCCTCTGGGCTTGGTGATTGACTCCTAGTTGACAACCTGAAATTTGCATTTGTCTGGAGTGGAGTGGAACCCTGGAGAAAGTCTCTATTGAGCTTGTTGATGGTATTAGAAACTGAGGCAAGGAGGTGAAAACATTGAGAGACATAAGCAAGGATAGCTTCATTGACGACTTTGATAAGAATGAGTCAACCCGCTTGTGAAAGGGTGTTCCTCCCTCCAACTGGTGAGTTTTGATTGTAATTTTTCAATGATGAATTGGAAATCCTGTTTAGAGGGTCTATTGTGCATGATGGGGTAACTAAGGTGTTTACCAAATAGCCTTTGTATCTACGATGTCTTTAATTACAAACACTTGTTTGCAGAACTTCAGTGCTTTTTAGGCACATCCACAATAATAAAAATAAGTTCAAGAAATTTCACTCCATTAAAACAGAGAAAAACTAAGCAGGATCTGAATACGAATAGAAGGTCTCCCGCCCCAAAGCGAGGAAGTGAAGACGAGGGGTGATCAAGTACAACCTTGCCGCACGCCAACCACCACCGTCGTAGGATGAATTTTTCTGTGATTGCCATGGATGATTTAAAAAAGTACCCGCTTACAACAAAGCATACTTAACACAGTCATGGAACTTAAACGTAATGATATAAACCAACAGCATATGGCAATAGGTGGGCGTGTTATGAAATTCTATTTCAAACTAGGTGATGAAACTGATGAATACAGCAATGGAAACATTGATTTGCTTACCCAAAAGAACCATGAATATAAATTTCTCAAAAAGCCTTTCACAAGAGTCTCTGAAAGAGTTTGTGGACACGGTTGAACGTTGTTCAAACTTGAACACGCCATTTCTTCTCCCATCGAGATTGACTGTAATTCCATATCCTGACCTTGCCCAGAAAAAATAGTCAATATCAACCTTCGAAATTATTATGACCTACGAGGGTTTTTTAAGGATTTTTATGAAATCTGGTTTCAAAAAAATCCCCAACCTTTGTTTGATACTGAAGAGGAAGGAGTTTCGAGCCTATTTTGGCCTAGGCAAATCAAGAATTTATTGTGCACAATTGAATATGTTCACAATAAGAAGGCGTTTCATGGAAGGTCAAATTGTGTTTCCAACTATGGTATGGTTGGGGATGAAATTCATCTCATCAATCCTGGAATAGATAGATCAAAAGTGCCAGATTACTTTGCAATATGGTTATTTTAAACTTTAAACTTGTTATCTCGAATTGCTAGGTTCATCTCGAATTGTAAGCAGGATAGAATTTGCAAACGTTAAGTATGTCTTCGAAATTTAATTTGGACTCTAGATCAACATGTGAATATTAA